CTCCCTTGCCACACTGACCAGTGCCGTCCTCGGATTCAGTGTGCTGGCTCTCCCCTAATAGTGACCCTCCTGGCCGCCCACTGTACCGACCCTGAGGGGGTGTGGTGATGGCCCTGGGGCCACACTCACCGGTGCTGCTGTGTCCAGATGTGCAGCGGCTGACCAGGGCTACCCATGGTCAGTGGCCCAGACCTGGGGCCGGCCTCCCTGGTCCCCGTCCATGTCAGGGTGGCGGTCAGTGCCCAGAGAACTTTCCCAAGCTGGAGTGGTGTGGAAACAGAGAGGAAGCTCCTGGCAGCCACCCCAGGGGAACAGCAAATTTAGCCCAAAGATCGAATACAGATCTATTTAAAATGTTTTAACTACAAAAATAACGTGAGATCGTTAAAATCGTTCAGAAAGGAAGGGAGTCAAAGTTCCCACACAGAGCCGCCAGGGCCCCGCTTTCCTTTCTTCTCGTCCCTTTCAGAGCTTTGTTCCTGCAAACACCACCGCACCTTCCCGAGGAGGCCGGGGTGTGGGGCTTTCTCCTGCGCCTCAACGAGCCACAGCACAGCACTGCGGCTGCAGGGGTGAGCCCAGGGAGACCCCACAGCGGGCACTCCAGCTCGGGAAAGTTCTCCGCACGAGAGGTGACTTGTGCTTGAATTCTGTGTCTCTCCAAAACATCGAGGTCAGACTGAGGTCAGTGAGTGCTTGTTCTGGGATTTCCTGGGAGGAATTTGGGGTCCCCACCTAGGCTCTGCACCCCTCCTGGCTGGCTTGGCTGTCACCCTCCGCAGCACTTCCTGCCCAGCCCCCTGAAGCAGGCTCCTCCCCACCCTGCGGGTCCCCTCTTCTCTTCCTGGGCTAGCCACAACTTCCAGTGGTTTCTTTTCTTTACTCGAGGGTGTCTCTCCCAGTAATCTGTTAGTCTATCTCTGGTTTACAAAATTCTATTCCTAAAAGCTCACCTATACCCAGCTCAGAGGTGGTACTCAATAAATATTTGTTGAATAAAAGGCTTCCTCCTTTCCTATTGTAACAATAAAATTCTCAAATCATACCCATCTCTGAGAAGCATCAGGAGACAAACCAGGGGAAACCCCCCACCCTATTCCAAGCACAAACCCCTTGTAAATTCTGCCTGTGGCCCTCCCTGCTGGCGCAGGGGTGAAAGACACAGCACTATCACGCTATCACCAGCCCCTGAGTTCGACTCCCGGCCAGGGAGGGGCCCACGGGGCACAGCAGACCTCTCCCGTCTCCCCGCTGCCCCCTCAGCCGTGTGTTTCACTTGATCCGCCCGTTCTGCTCCCCTCTTTCTCTGGGGAGTCCTCTCTCCCCCTCCACCCTGCACTCCTGGCCTCCACCCCAGTTCTTGTATGCATAAATCAGTAACTCTTCAAAAATAAATCAATCATTTCTGCCTAATGTGAAGGGCCAGTGCACGGACGGTGGGCAGTGGGCAGCTCTCCTAGGCCCCCCAGCCCCTGTCTGCTCTCCATCCCCACATTCATGGACGCACCCCTGAAGGCACCGCTAAGTGCCTGTTCTATTCTTTTCCTTGCTATTACCGTGAAGAAGAAATCTGAGCTCCTCATGCCGTAATTCTCCATAGGAGTGTTACTAGCATTTAACAGCTAAACGCTCCGGCCATAGGAATGAAACACTCGCGGTAGAAATTCCCGTCTCATCTGGCACCAGAGGAAGGAAATTAAGGAAAGGGGCCTGAAGGGCTACAACTCAGAGCGGTTCCACCAGGTGATTATGCTACTTCCTTCTTTAGCGGGGAACCTTTAGAGGGAGGAAAGGAAGAGAAAATGAGAGTAGATAGATGAGGTTGAAATCTCACCCGCTATAAAATAAGTCCCTTGGCTTTTACAGCCTGAGTGTAATATAAACTGTTGAATGTTAATCGTTGTGTTTGTAAAACCACGAGATGTGCTGCTTTCAATTCTAGGGGGAGTAAAAGGGCTCCTGAAGCTTCTTCCAGTGCGCCCCTCCGGCCCTCTGGCTGAGGCCGCACCCTTGAACAGACGCCAGGGGACCCGGGGCCCCACGCCCCACTGCGCTGTCTCTTGGCGATCCCGCTGCGAAGTTCTCCTGCACGTAGATGCGGCACATTGGTAGTTAAGACGCTGCCCGCTCAGACACGGCTGGGCTCGTCTTTGCTTCTCTGGGAAACGGCACCCCTTTGCTTGTGAGGCTGGGGGCCCTCGCCCCTGGGAGCGGACTCCTTTCTCTCCCTCGAGGAGATGCTGCCCCCATCACACGGGCCAGTGAGAAGCTGCCCCCCACCAGAGACCCTTCCCAGGCCTCGGCTTCCATGCCTGTAAAGTGGGGACACCAGGTCCCATGCCGCAGGGCCATCCTGGAGGTTTAACCTCTCTGAAACGTTCGCCACCCTGGGAGGCCGCTGTGGACATCCTTCATCCGTGTCATTTCCTGGAGCCTTGTCTGTCCCGGAATTCATAAGAAATGAACGACCATTCAATTCTACTCTAGTTTCCCTGCATGTGAGTTAATTTGACATCTAAGGTACGCTGTAACGCCACAGAGGGACATTCTGGAACCATCCCTCAGCACCCCATATTTAACTTAATATTAAAACATAGTGATAGGCCCTCCCTGGTGGCGCAGCGGGTTAAAGCACAGCACTGAGAATCTGAAGCCACTTCCGCATGAGTTCGATTCCCGCCTGCCGCCTGCCCCGGAGGAGACCACATGGCGAGCCAGACCTCTCCTGGCCCGCCCGCTGCTTCCCTCAGCAGTGTACTTCGTAGATCTGCCTGTTCTGCTCCCCGCTCTGTCTCTGGTGAAGCCTCTCACCGCCCCTGAGCCTCTGGCCTGTACCCCAGTTCTGTATGAATAAATAAATAAATCTTTAAAAAAAAAAAAAAAAAAAAACATAGTGATAATAACAGCAACAATGGCCATTTAATGAAACTATTCTGGGTCACTCTGCAGAACCTTTTTATTTCATTTTTTTTTAATGATCTGTAGAACCCTTTAGGAGTAACCCTAAGAGGTAGGAACCACGCAGCTGTTTCAGAGGAGAGACGCAAGGCCAAGGTGCAGCTCAGCGTTGGGCCCAGCTGTAAGTCAGCTGAGATTTTAACCCTTGCAGGTCTGACCCTAAAGCTCTGAGCTACTGAGGGGCTGGTGGGTGGAGTTTGAGGGCTCCCGCCTGCCCCCCACCCCCTGCCCGCCCCAGGCCGCCACCTTCTCTTGCAGTCACATGATTGAAGGGACACAAAGTAGAGTGATGTAATGTCAACTTTTATTAAGACAAACTACCCAGACTGTGCCCTTTCCCCTGGAGCCCCGCAGCAAGGACCGGTCCCACAGATTTCTACTTCATTTTACAAAACAAACACATTTCAGAGATGAGAGTTTTTTGAAGAGAAAGTCTTAATGGCAGAGCCAGACAAGAGATAAAAAAGGTGTCCCCTCCAGGGGCCGGGGTGGAGAGCCCTTCTCTGATGTCCGGCCTGCGCTCTCCACCTCGCTGCCCTCATCCTTCGCTCCACCCACCAAGCACATCCGAGCCCCAGCAGCGGGGCCAGGAGCGGGCGCGTGTTGGGGCCTGAGGCCGAGCCTCTCTGGGCTGCAGCCCCCCTCGACTGCTCGTGCCTATCCGCGCAGGCTGATGACCCCGAAAGCAGAGAGGCCCAGCGTCTGCCAGGCAGCTGGACAGGACAGGACAAGGATGCGCTTCCCTAAGCTTGGCTTTATTTCAGGATCCCCTCCCCCACCCTCCAGACATGGCCCACGCGGGCCACGCAGGCCCACACACGCTGGTGGCTCAGGACGGTGCCGACGCGGTGACGAGCCGGCCCTGCCGGTCCTTGGCCCCGTAACACACACACACAGGCGTTTTTAAAAGTATCGTCGCCCTGAAAGCTTCCGTGTCCTGTTGTAAGCCTGTTTTACCTTCCTCAGGGGGCCAGTGCCCTGATGAACAGACTAACAGGGAACCAGGCGGGTTCCGCGGAGGGGAGAGGCGGGACAGGACTCTTCTCAGCCCCACGCCGAGTGTCCCTGGGAGCACCGGAGACGCAGGAGCCGGGGCCCGACGAGAGAACTGGAGGTCCCCCCACTGCTCCCACGGCCGCTCGGTCCTCGAGGGAGAGGGTGGGCCCGCAGCTGGCACCATGTCTCCTCCGGACACGCAAACTGGCAGCCAGCAAGGGAAATCGGCAGGAGAGAAAAACAGTTTTCCAGTATTTCCTCTCCTTTTAAATTTTCATCTTCACAGCAGAATTATCTTCCCCAAGGGGAATTTGGGGGGCACGAAGCCCTGTTTGCATTACAGAGACCTGGGGATCCCACACAGCTCGGCGGCTGGTGGTCCGCTCAGGAGCGGAAGACGGCAGTTTCCTGGGCGTTGGGGTCACGAGGCATGAATGGAGCAAAGGGGTGAGAGCCGGGAGGCGAGGCCCCCCGTCTGTGCCACCAGGTCGGCCTGCGAGAGCAGCAGGGGCTGGCATGCAGGAGTCCCAGGGGCCCCTGCGCCCTGAGACCCCGAAGGGCAGGCGCCCTGGGGAAGGGAAGGCTGGGACAGCCCAGCGCTGGCGGCTGCACCCCAGGCACTAGCAGGGAGGAGGATGCCAGGCAGGTGCCAAGGGGCTCTCTGTAAACCAGCAGGGCAGCCAGAGTGGCACTCGCCACTCCAGGCAGGTCGGGAGACAGCGGTGCCCAGCCGTCCAGGGCAGCCCCAGGTCCTGCTCAGGTCTGACTTGGAACTCGGGGCTCCTCCTGGAGGGGTCAGGGGTCAGATGGAGGAAGCCGGAGACTCAGAGAAGGCGGCACAGACCGGTGTGGGGACTCATCTGTTGCGCGGCCAGAATCCCACAGCCCCCCCTTCTTGTGCCCTGTCCAGTGGGTGTTAGGGGGCCTCACTGAGAGGTGGGCGGGGAGGGGTGGCGGGGCAGAGAACGGGGCGGGGGGCAGCCGGGGCGGGCCCCCAAGCGCCTGCCTGCACTCAGAGCCCCGTGTAGCTTCTGGAGTAAGTGAGGACGGGGTCCACGGGAGAGCGGCCATGAGCAGGAGCCCGCGGGCCCGCAGGGACCGCGGCCGCCGCCCCGCGGGCTCACACCGACAGGTCGTCAGACCGCGCCTTGCTGCTGGCCTTGCTGAGGCGGCGCTTGTCTCCGCCGAAGCCCTGGGGCGGGCGGTGGTCTGGGGCGCCCCCGTTGGGCACCTCGGGCTTCTGGGCGTAGCGGACGTGAATGAAGCCGTCCCCGGGGGCCTGCTCCTGGCCTCTCACTTGCTCGGTGGCCAGGTTGTGCGTGTTCTGCTGGGACGCCATCTTGTTACTGAAGGGGTTGAAGAACTTGCCCGCGGGGCCGTGGTCCAGGCACTGACTGAAGTCGGGGGGCGGCGTGCAGCCCTGGCCCAGGCGGGCCGCGGGCCCCGGGAGCGGGCACTCGGCCAGGCTCTGGGGGCGCTTGACGAAGCGCTGCCTGACCCTCTTCCAGCCCAGGTGGTAGAGCTCGGCCAGGCTGAGGAAGAGGGACAGGCCGGCCACGGCCAGCATGAACACGATGAACACGTTCTTCTCCGTGGGGCGCGACACGTAGCAGTTGACGGGGTGCGGGCAGGGGCTGCGGCGGCACACGTGCAGGGTGTCCAGGAAGATGCCGTAGAGCAGGTACTGGCCCACGATGAAGGCCACCTCCATGGTGGTGCGGATGAGGATGCTGCAGACGTAGGTGTTGAGCAGCGTGCCCTGCAGGACGATCCTGCCGTTCACCTCCTCCCAGCAGCTGAGCTCCGGCTTCTCGGCTGCCGGGTACTCGTAGCCCGCGGCGCGCACGTCCCGGGCGCGCTCGGCCTCGCGCAGACGGCGCTTCTCCTGCACGCGCACCGTGTGCATGGCGTGGCCCATGTACAGCAGCGACGGCGTGGACACGAAGATGATCTGCAGCACCCAGAAGCGGATGTGCGAGATGGGGAAGGCCTGGTCGTAGCACACGTTCTCGCAGCCCGGCTGGATCGTGTCGCACTGGAAGTCGGCCTGCTCGTCACCCCAGGAGGACTCGGCCGCCGTGCCCAGCACCAGCATCCGGAAGATGAAGAGCACCGTGAGCCAGACCTTGCCGATGACCGTGGAGTGCTTGTGCACCTCCTCCAGGAACTCGCCCAGGAAGCTCCAGTCGCCCATGGCGGCCCGCGGAGGACGGACGCCGCGGCTCCTGCAAGCAGAGCTGGGAGAGAGGAAGCTGCTGGAAACGGCCGGAAGG